TAATTGAAAAATAAACTTTTTTTTCTGTATGTGTGTGTGAGAGTTTGTACTTTATAAAAATGAATCAAATCGTAATTGAACAAAATTGACTATAGAACTTGCATTTTTTTTCTTAAAAATGCATACAAAGAGTGTACTTTTTGCACAGGTTATTTTTCTATCTTTCTCAACTTTTCCGGTTTAAATTTTTTTGGTGTGGTTTTTGTGTAAAACTGATCTAAATAAAGACGATTGAATGATGTTTATGATAGTGAGCAAAATAAATATTATAATTTTAATAGTTGAGATCTTCAGTCAATTGAAGCTAGACCACCATGGAGAACCTGGAAGCACTGGACTGCCGTTTCGTTCTACTGTGAGACTTGTTAGCAGTGAGCATTCACGATCCCGCTTCGCGAGATTCGAACCGAGGACCTTCCAAAATAAATATACTGCGTTATCAGAGGATCTCTGAATAGAAGATATTCATATTATTTTAAAGGGAATTGCATTGAGTTGAATTCAACTGGGGAAATATTTAAAGTCAGAAAGCGCTTGTGCAACTGTATGTTTCAAATTTCTAGTGATAAATGGATGGAGGTAGTCGGAAAGGAACCCTGTAAACAAGTTTTATCTATTTGAACGAACTGATATTCCCAGTAGGATCTGAACTCGCATCAACCGGAATTATTATTTCAGTAACGTAGATATGTAGAACTTTCATCGTAACTTGCACTGGTAATGTAATCGACGACATGTTGTAGTTAATAGTGATAATTTTTACTTATTCATTTCTTAGTTTCGATAAATTCTGTGATTATCTACCTCACATTACTTCAAAACATTACTTTAAGCAGTGCATGTACACGTCAATCAAAAGTCACAAAAGTACATCTATAAATACTAATTATTTAATCAATGGAAATTAATTTGTAGTAAAAATTGCCTATACTCACATGGTTAGTGAAATCAGTCGCTAAAGTAAATGGTATGACAGAGTATGGACGTTAATTATTATCTGAGGTTTAAACAAACACACACAGAGAGACGGGTTCAATCATTGTGTACTATCACATTTTCTATTATCTCTAATTATCATTATAGTTGATAAAAATGAACTTTATGATACTTGGATGAAGAATATCCGTTAGTTGTAAAGTTGGAAGGTTAAATATTGAGAAATGAATTATGGTAAAATAAAGATTATAACGTAAGCTGTTGATGATACTTGAGACTACACTTGGTTTATTTCTATTATAATATATGTATCGCGAGCGGATTGTTTTCATAGTTATAAATTTTAAAAAATTTTCAAGATGGTTAGATTGCAGGACTAATCAATGGAATTACAATGGAAAATTACAATCTCTTAAGTACATGGAATTTCATAGTCCTTGAACAAGTTAGTGCTTTTGAGGACCCAATAGACATGTGAATAACAAGTTGTTATTCGAACTGAAGGGTACTAAGTCAAAGCCTCACTATGAGTAATAACACTAGACCCAGGTACTTCCAAATGACGGACTTTAAATGAAGCAAAACCTCATATTCAATTTCACTGAAAGTCGTAATCCGAAAAAAAAGAAATCTTGACATTTTAAGGAGAGATATATAATTCCCATTCCAATATTAACAATACAAAATTCAACAGAGATCCCATTTCAACGAATTTATTATCGAACTGTGAAATGGTATTCAGTGTAACGAAAAAACATTTTAATTATTTTTTTCTATTCGTATTCAATGTTAGCTTATTAATTTTGCGTGCATTTCCATGTGCATATATCCTGAAGAAGTTACACAGAATTTATTAGTATTATCTACACTATAGAACCTAGTTTGAAGACAAATACTGGGTATTGTTGATTGATTGAAGGACTGTTAACTTTCTCGATAGTCTCTCTACAGTAATATGTTTATTATTACATTTGAGTTTGACTTACGAAGGTAACTAGAATATGCCCTTCAAATGAGTTTGGAAAAAGGGGATGAGCGACCATCTAAAGACTTATAGTTTCTATAAGCTTTTCAATTTGATTTACAAACCAACCGATAATTAACCATTAGGATTAATCCGTCTTAGTTGTTGTATGGTTATATGATGTTAATTAAATGTAATTTACTGACATATCACACCATATTGTTCAGTTTATTCATTGTATTCTGTAAGTAAACTTCAAATGAATGAGTCAGTATATACTGAACGAACTATGAATAATTCGAGTTTTTTCTTGACTTCTATAATAGAATGCTGTTCACTGTTATTCGTAGACCAACTTAGTGCAGATAACATGTATATTCATCACACTGAATATAATATCTTCAAATAGTAGATAGAGAAAGTATGATTCATACAATTCTGTGATAAAATATCAGCTAGTTTTCGATTATGTACTTGAGTAAAACTGTAACAATGGAGGTTTAGACAGAGAGAGAGAGAGAAAGTATTTAAAGATACGTTGGATACAATAGAATTCTACCATAGCGGTTTGTAGATGCATCAACGGTTATACCCTGAAGATGAACGTTGAAAAAGACTACAATGGTTATTGTAAATGCAATTAAACGTGGGTACAAATAGAAGGATGTGAGACCTTCAACTTAGGTATCCAATAAAGAAGTATTTCACATAGACTGTGCCGAAATATGGCCGGAATGTTTAACAAAGTAGCTTTAGATAGTAGTATTTTCTTATTACTAAAACTAATAAGGTCATCATTAGTAGCAAATGTTTCTACAAATCTATTTATTTTGGAGTTTTTTTACATCATCTTCAAATGAAATAATGATCTATGCAAATCATTAATATCTGTTGGGTAACTTTCTGATCAGTATTCATATCTATTGCTCAGCTACACATGGTATATTGTTACACTGCATGAAATGTTACCACAACATTAGTTCATTTGCTACTAATGGTAAATGTTGGTACAGATGTCAAGGTAGAATATTCTAAGTTATTTTTACCGATCATTTACTTACATTCGAATCAACAAACTTATTTACGTATATGATGTATACTTTTCTATTCATACATTTTCCTAAGATGTAAATTAACTATCAAATGTAGTATTATGTAGAAGAAAAAATCTTTGTTAACAAAAATAACAAACAGCATTCTGTATAATAATTTCAGTAAATTCTTTATTATATAATAATTTTCCACTCAATATCCAACATAACAATGTTTTAGTTTCGAGAATCAATAAAGACTTCTCTCATTTGTGAAGTTCAGTATAACTAATAAACTCATTTACATGATACTATTACTGATTACAAGACATTCATTATTAAATGTTCTATTTGGGTAAATGTACTAATCCTTGTATGTGATGCTAATATAAATTACAATAGATGAGATCATGAGTCAGTTGGACCTAGACCACTACGGGAAACCTGAAAGCACTGGAGGACCGTTTCGTCCTGTCGTGGGATTTTTCAGCAGTGCGCATCCACGACCCCGCCTCGCGGGATTTGAACCCAGGACCTATCGGCCTCGCGCGCGAACGCTTAACTAGTAGACCAATGAGCCGGTACCCAACGGTGTTAATATCTAACTTTAACTAATTCACGAAATTGAGCGACATCCACCATTGTCATCAGTGAGTTACTATCTCACAACAGGCCCAGCTGAACTCCACTGGGTTCAAGTCCTACGAGGCGGAGTCGTGGATGCGCACTGCTGACAAGTCCCACAATAGGACGAAACGGCTGTCCAGTGCTTCCAGGTTTTCCATGGTGGTCTAGCATCAATTGACTCATGATCTCAACTTTAACAATTACTACGACTTCCACAAAATCCCTTCCAATACTAAGATAAATTAGTTTAAAACCTGCGGAAGAGTTATAATTAATATTTTTCCAATGTAGGTAAACTGGAAATGAAGTTTGTTAAATCAGAACTTCCTATTTACTTCCTTGGGATATTTTTTAAATACCTTTTTATATTCTTCACTTTAAAAAATGAGACGTATTAATGATTTAATTATTTAAAATCACTTTGAATAGTTGATTTGGTTTTGTATACCGAGATAATACATGGATTTGAAGTAAAATCTACCTTACAACAGAATTCAAACTAAATGATTTAGCTGGATAATTAGTCGAATATTTCAGAGACTAAGACACGACAGTCAACTAATAAATGGATGGTCACTTCGCAATAAATTTGTAGATATCCAGTCCATTAAGTGAATACAGTACTTTTGGAATCAAATTAAAGGTGTAGACCATTGGAGACCAACTCAATAATAAAAAAGTATCCTACTATCCAAGAGATATATGGATATGATTTTTAGTTAGATGTTAATTAGTTATTGATAAGCAACGTTGAATCAGTATATTAGTTCAAGTTTCCGCATCACATCGACTAAACGAGAAGAAATTATCAGAACAAATTTCAGAGTAATGAAAGTAGCAACGGAATCAGCAGTAATAAAAAATTTAAGTATTGGAGGTTATGATGGATTCGTAGGAAAGAAATTATAAGATATTTTTTAAACATAAAACTTAATAGAAAACAAATAGTAAGTGTAACTAAACTAATCCATTTCACGAAATATCCCCGACCGTTCTTTACAATAATCATGTGAAATCTAAACCAGTGGTCTCCAGTAACCAATATGGTTCAACTCAACAATCAGTGACTTTATGGAATGATACCATGTCTTGGTTTGGTATACTTAAACTTTCTATCAACCTACTGTAACACCAAAAAATATTACCCTTCTAGATATAAGACAACTGAGTATACGTAGAATATGTATACAACAGTACAATGTTGAAGAGTTTAAAGCTAATACAAATCAACTTTCATAGCTTCATGGTGCTTGGATGCAAACTGCTGAGGAGTTCCACTATAAGATGAAACGGCCGTCCAGGTTTTCACTGGTGGTCTAACATCAATTAGTCCATGATCTCAATCAAAAATCTAATAATCTTCACAACCCTATACTGATAATTCTTAATCTGTCTTTAATCTTTCTTTTTTATATTTAAAAAATTTAAAATATATTAAATATATTACTTTATTTTTTATTAATGATTATAATCGGTTATTAGTATTAATGGTACATTGTTCCAAAATATAAAATTGTATGTTTTTTTTAAATATTTTTGCAAGATAATTAATTTAATTAAAAATTATGTACAAAATTCAATTTCCTTTTAAATAAAAATTTTCCTATTTTAATAAATGGAATTCAATGGAAAATTCCCATATGGATAGTAACCATTAGAGTTACGATAGACTTCACTATCGAAATATATATATGTATAAAGTATTGTTTTTTTTGTATTTAAACTCTTGTTTAAATATATTAGATTTTTTGTTATTTTCTTTAATTGAAGCATTCAACATTTCATTTGACTAGATTAATGTCCAGCTAATGGAATCCCAATACTTTTATTACATTGTAAAGTAGTTCGATTGTCTGATACTAAAACTGTAAATGAAATAGAAATAAATTGAATTATTATTTTAAATAATAACTAAAAGAAGAAGGAAAAAAAAGTGTTTAAAGAAAAAGTTTATTATTCATTAAAGCATTGGATATTGATGGAATTTCATTTGACCAAGTTACAAAATATTTTCTAGTCTAAGAGATTCAATATTATAATCACTATTTTCAAAAAATCTTAGATATAGGTTTTACGTTAAACGATACTTGTTATTAGGAGTTATCTGTCATTTATTAAAATGTATTAATTCTGTAATCAATAGTAGTAGCACTTTACATTGACTACTTTTAAAAACTTAAAATTACAATTTACTGTTGTATACTATTGTCAAGACAGTTCTACTGTATGAGGCAGAAGCCTGGAAAACAACGAAAGCCAGAAAATACAGGTGTTTATTAACAGTTCTCTACGCAAAATACTTCAGATCCGTTGGCCGGACACTATTAGTAACAACCTGCTGTGGGAGAGAACAAACCGGATCCCAGCGGAGGAAGAAGTGCTGGAATTGGATAGGACACACATTGAGGAAAGCACCCGACTGCGTCACAAGACAAGCCCTCACATGGAATCCTCAAGGCCAAAGGAAAAGAGGAAGACCAAAGAACACATTACGCCGAGAAATGGAAATAGACATGAGAAAAATGAACAAGAATTGGATGGAACTAGAAAAGAAGGCTCAGGACAGAGTGGGTTGGAGAATGCTGGTCGGTGGCCTATGCCCTATTAGGAGTAACAGGCGTAAGTAAATAAGTAAGTATTGTGTACTATAGATGATTTATATACTTGAGTGTATTCTTTTCTCTTTCAGAAATGATATAACCAACATATTTAAGTGATTTTAATTGCTTTTATTAGTAGAATTTAGAAATTATCAAATTAATTAGTTCATTTAATTTAACAATTAGTATGATGATTCACATTATCGTTATCTGTTTTGTTATTTATAATACGGTAAAATAAATAATTAGTTTAACATTTTCTTTCTTTTCTCTCTCTCTCTCTTATACTGCCTAAATCATCTTTAGGTTTCCTTATATATATTCACACATGAGTAGAGAAAAAATTAGAATTCTTCATGTATATTAATCATATTTAAAGTGTCAATCATTGATTTCCCATATATCCTTCATTTATAAGTTACATATATGTATATTGCTTATTGTTAAATATAGTTTGTGTTATTTCTCTTTCAAATATTTTATTATTGTTATGATTGATACAGTTTATTTCTCTATTATGTTACTCCTCTTAGTGTGTGTATATGTTGTTGAAAGATTAAACCTTAATTAGCCATTTTACATGTAAAGTTTTGCATTTTCCATTAATTTTGTTAATGATTACAATTTATCTTTTTTTCTGACTTGGGTGGATCATGAATGAAAGGTCTCGATATTGTCTTATTATAAATGATGATACATCCAACCGATGAATCCGAATTAGATGAAGTGTGTTTCCTGGATTCCTTAGTCAATCATTATTCAACATCTCTAGTGAGCGGCTATATTGATTTAATGATAAGAAAAGAGAAGTTAGTGAAGTTTTAGATGAAAGATTATGACACTGAATAGTCATTTTACTAAATAAAACTATTTTTAAATGATCTTGCTGGTTTAATGTCTAAGGTCCGAATGTCTTATTGTTTATTTTATTAAATTTAACATTATTTTCATGAAATATATGTTCGGTGAAATTCAGTGTCTTCACTGGCTCAAATGACCTTAAAATGTCCCTTTTTATTGTAGTAGTAATGTAGTAGTCAGTTTTGAAACAATCTTTACAATGGAGTGGTATTAATTGGATAACTATTGACAGCAAGAAAACACTAAAGATATATTTCATTGAAGTTTCATAATATTTCACACCTTGGTCTCATACAGAATTCAGTATAGGAGCTCCAAGTCCTGTAGTAAGCATACTGTTGTTTGATTAAGGTATTCTAATTTACTGGGAGCCCGCAATAGACAGAGTGGCATAGAAATGAATGTTAAATATCATGTCTCTTTACTTATATGACTAACGTCACACAGAGTTCTTTACTTGTAAGACGTTCATGATTATGGGCAGTAACGTTATAGGCAATAAGTAATACTCACTGCTACAATATCTCAAAATACAGAGCAAAAAATTCCTAGTTGTCAATACTTTCCCGGATAATATTAGTCTATGCTGTTTTTGTGCTATTATGGAGATTGTTGAATTCGGAGCTTGACATTACAAAGTGATTTGACTTAGACAACCAAAGAAAATTAATTGAAGCTAGGATACTGTTTTGTCGATGATCATGGATGATGGTAAGAGTATATCATGAATTGAGTCAAATTAGGAATCTAAGCCATTAGATACGTTCACAGTGAGGCATGAGAGTCCTGGATTCGACCTCCGGTGGAGAGATCAGAATAAAAACGAAAGAGATCCTTGGTACTTCATAGTTTTCAATAGTTTTCTTAATGTAATCAATCTATGATGTGACATTTCAAAATAATTTCTGACCATCAACCCGGTTGAATGTCTTAAAATAACAAATATAACTATGACACGCATGTTAAAAAATGTATACTACTGAATTACGACTCAGTAGTCCAAAAGTATCATGTTTATTGACAAATCTTAAGATTATGAGTTCTGTCCAGTATGAATTCATTTTAGGACCTCAACAAATCGTTCAAAAATAGAAATAAACGGCTGTATAATGTTCCTGATTTCCAACTTTCCTTGAACTTTTATCAGTTAATGATAAAAAATCATCTTTAATCTGTGCAGATCTTTTCACAAAACACTATTAAATAATGGTAACATTTATCTAAGAGTAATATTATTACTCTACCCTATTGATAGTCAACATGATATTGAAAAAAAGGTTTTCAGTATAAGGGTTGTGGAGATTATTAAGTTTCAGATGGAGATCACAACCCCTATACTGATAATTACCATATGCTCACTAATGACTAGCTTAGTGAGGGAATTCTCGGAGTTCTAGTGAGAAGCCGTGACCACTGAAGCTAATCCGTGTCGGGTAGAGACATGTATCTACCTCGTTATAATGGAAGATGATCGCGCGATTTCGTGGTTTGGTTGAGGTTATACATTAACACCATTAGATGCCGGCTCAGTGGTTCAGTAGGTTAAGTGTTTGCGCGCGAGACTGAAGGCCCTGGGTCCGAATGCACCGAGCGGGGTCCTGAATGTACACTGTTGAGGAGTCCCGCAACAGGACGAGACGGGCGCCCAGTGTTTCCAGGTTTTCAAGGGTGGTCTAGCATCAATCGGTTCATGATTTCAATGTAAAAGAAGGTTTAAATACCCTTAAAAGTAAACAGTAGAACTTTTGTTTAATGTTTTATTCACTAGTTATGTTAGACAAGTAATCTGAAAACCACTGGATATTAATTAATTATTTTAAACTATCATAGAAAACAATAATAATAATAGTAATAGTAATAATAATGGTTTCTTCATTGGATCACTATTAGAATTGGAATTTTATTTAATATTCATTTAAGGGTCTGTCATTATCTTTCCGTTTTATTCTATCTTAATCAATGAATAACAATTAATTTAATGCTAAAGACTTCTGGATTTTCCATCAATTTGAAATCTTAGTACTGATTACTTTTACATATAATCAAGACGCAATTCCATCATTTTAGTATTATTATTACTATTACCATTGTTATTATTATTATTATTACTATTATTATACCATACATTAATTTATACACACAGATATTCGTTTCTTGATCATTTATCCATACACTAACAATCTATCGAATGCCCTATTTACTATTTATGTGTACTTAGTGGTTGAATCGGTGCCTATCAAATTGGAATATTTACCCACAATATTTCCCAAGCTTATTTGGGTGTACGTGTTTGTGTGTGTGTGTACGCACATGTGTAAGTGTGCATGTGTGTGTATTTGCACGTATTTACGTGTATTTCTTGGGAAAAAAAATGAACAGTATAAAAAAAATTAATTGTATATGCATATTTGTGTATACTCTGCATAATGATTATTGTATACAGAATGAAATGACAACTACTTAATTCATAAACAGGTGAATTTTGGGATATCATTTATTAAGGTTGATTGAATTTTCCATAAAGATAATGAATAAATGATATAAAAGATTTAGGATTATTTACGTTCACTGATGTATACACCTGTGTGTTTATTTATTTATTTATATATAAATTAAGACAGATTAAAGATCTTCAATTAAGAACTAAAACAGATGATCTTATCATTGCTGTTATGTTTTCTAATAAAACTTTTAACTGTTTTGTTTTTTATTATAAAGAAGGTTTGTTTATGTACTCAATATTCGTTCTCAATGAATTTTTTAGTTAATATAATAATCAACTTTATGTCAAATTATTTTACCATAGTCAATTTCAACATTGTTTATACTTTAATTAGAAAGAGGTTAAATTAGATGTGAGATTGAAGATGCATTTATTATAAATCTATATTTTTTAATGTTTTCTCTAAAACGCGGCATAGAATTTGATTTTAACCAGAGATCTGAGCAATAAAATACATACTCTTTTACGAAGCTTTAAAACAACATGAAACTTCACATATAACAGAACGTCTTTTCTAAATTGTTTTCAAAGAGCTAGGTGTGATAGTTTCTATCTATCAATTCTAGTGCATAATAGATGATTTTAAATAAGTTAGAGTAAAAGTCACTTTGGACGTTATTCCAATTGTTATCATAATATACCTTGATTGAAATAAGATGAAATGTGAAGAATAACGATACCTAATTTTCGTTAAAGTAATCTTCATTTAAAAGAATGATATCAACCGAAAAACCAATGAAAATCATGGGTTTAATAGATAATAATTTTGTCTCAAATCGGGATTCCTCAACAGCATTCATTCAAAATTCATCTCCCACATATTGAAATCTTAGTTACACAATATTGTTTGAATTATATTAAGGACCCAATAGTTCACATTCTCAACTTCAATCTATTTGCAAAATATATAGCTGAATTTCCATTAGATTTCATCAGTGTGTATAAGTTGTTGTCTTATTTCTGATTTGGTTGGTGTAACAAAGGTTATACCTTCCTAAAGGAACTTGAAAAACTAATCCAAAATCTATTCACTAAGTAGAATATAATAATTATTTAACAATCTGTGTCTCCAGATTTCTTTTTATAATTTTATTACAGTTTTCTTCATCATAAACTCAGACATTAAATGATTTACTTACATTCATCGTTTTTTTTAAAAGAAATATCACAGTTCATTAATAGGAAAATTATTCTAAATAGTTTTAATCACTCAGTCAATTAATATTTGCAAATGTTTAATTTAAATGCAGGAGTTAAAACAAAACTGGAATAACATTATATATATACTTACTAGGTTGTGTCTGATCACCAGTTTTTAAACTATCCATCGTTTCGTAAGGTGTACACATATTCCACGTGGTTGTCTGTGAATAATTACTGTTAAAATCGATTAATTTAGAATCCTGTAATATAAAATATATCAAAAGAAAAGCTGTAAAAAATCATCAAAATATCAAGTTAGACTAAATCATTTCGACATGTCATTCGTGTTTAAATATAGAGAGATAAACCTTAATTTACGATATTATCAGATTGAAATAATAATGAGAATTAATAATTTAAATGATCTATTCGTGTGGCTTAATTTGTCCATAACGTTTTCAACGTTTAATAACCAGGGTATTTTTCTGTTTATTGGGTAAGCGAATGGAAAATTTATAGCTTTCGCTATATTTGTTCGTTTTATCCAATATGTTGTAATACGTTACATTTACATGATCACAGTAGAAAATTGCAGATAACTGCAGACTCTTGAAATAAATTTTTCAGTAAATGGAAAAGTGGATAAAAGTTCTGGATGCGATTCCCTTATTGAATATTGCAAACACTGTGGATAATCCCAGCTCATATGTTTTGATAGCATTATTTAAGAAACATAAAACTCGGTTGGTTGCGTTCAAAATATGGTAGTCAAAAAGCCATTTTCCTGTGAAACTAGGTCACACTAGTTAAAATTCCATCCCGGGAAAACCAACTCCTCTATGCTTGAAGGTACGTCATACTGAAAGCGTAAATTTAGGGGCTTCCCAATGTTTTCTTCCATTCACCGGTGTTACATTATTTGAAATATTTCAGCGTTGATTATACATACTAAAAAAATACTTCGTTAATATAGCCATACATAACTCAAAATAAAAATATGGTCACTTTACAGATGGACACGGCACTTGTACAAAAATGAACAGGTTATCCATGCTTGAATAATTGTAACTATCAGTTTAGACAGAGTCTAATTAGTGCTCATCATAAATTTCTCTTTTTGTGATACCATAATATAATTTTAGATTTCAACTTTATAAATTATTGAGATTGAAAAATTAGTTTATACACAAAACTAAATACGATCAAAAACCGAGTGATATTTGAAAGCTGTTCTATTGTAGCTCTAAACTCATCCGGTATACTGAAATAATTACGTGATTTGACTACATAAAGCTAATGCGTGTTATCATTTAGATTTCAGTATACATATTTCAACTGTAGTGCAAAATATTAAAAATGGGCAAGTATAATTATTTAGCGGACCCTTTCTCTCATTATTTAATTATTCACTGAATTAATGATTTTGCATACTGGAAACTATTTCGAAATTATCTTTTGTCATATATATCAAGAAGAACTATGTAGTATTTATCGTTATAATGAATTAAAACTATTCATTATTGTCTGAAAGATGTGTAAGAAAATGATAACATGGAAGCACTGGACGGCCATCTCATCCTAGTATGGGACTCAGCAGTGAGCACCCACGATTTCTCTGCGGGACTCGAACCTATGACCTTCCTTCTCACGTGCGAACGCTTCACCTCTAGACCACTAAGTCGGTATTCAACGGTGTTAATGTCTACCTTCAATCGATTCATGGTTTTGCCCAACCATTCAACCTTTCATCTCTGGGATAAACACTTGGATGTTTGTAAAAAAAATAAAATGATCTTAAAATGATTGATTTGCGTTGATGAGTACTGACGTACTGTTAATTAATTTCTGTCCTTTAGCTTGTATGTAATTGATTCGTACAGAAAAATTAAGCTTTCTAGTAGACGGTCATTTATAGTGTTAACGCAAACTTCGTGATGCCTATATATAGGGCTTTAGTTATCACTGGTTGGATTGTTGTTAAAAACATTTATCAACGATGTGTCGGATAAGGGTTAGTATGTAACCCAGGCGAAGTACATGGGATTCCACAAACGTTTGACATTAATTTCAGTGAATATTGAACTGAAATAACATGGATAGAACTAATGCTAACAGTAATCATAATCATAGGTGTAATATTAATAACTGACTGATTTAACATGGAATTTATCTTATAAACACTTATTACTATTACAGTATTAATAATAACATTGATGTTAATGAGAGTATCAGATATCCATATAGTTTATGTGAGAGAGGAAGTATCCACTTGACATGTACAAAATGAAGAGCACCTGTTTTAGTATTCAACTTAGTGTAATACATTGACCTAAGAGTTCAAATAACATGTATCTTAATATTTATTTACTGAAAAGTTAATTAATTGTCCAGAACTACTGAAACCACATAAATTTTCTCCCTCCCTCTCTCTCTCTCTTTCTATGTTTTCCTTTATTCTGTGAATGATAATCTCAACGATAACTGAACAACAACAAAAAAAGATATACAATTCACTGTAGATCAATTTTTGAAAGATTTTACTAGTTTATTCTCTTTAATATAACTAACAAATTAGGAAAATGATTTATACAATGATAGTCTGATAAATATATAGCCTATATTGATGTTCTCTTTATTTTCGCTTGTCTATTCTGATAACGAATAGTTATGGAAAAGTTTCATTTTAAGCCACATATATATTCATGTATATATAAGGTAAAAACAAACAAACAAAGAAACCAATTGAAACATTGATCTATGAATAACAAGTGGATTATTCATATTCTATTCATATTTATTCAGATCTTTATCCACCCTCACGTTTTTTCTCTTTATCTTTCTTACTTAATTGAAAATGAATATACATAGTTATGGATACATGTGAATTTTCTATAATTTCTCCACGTGGACATTTACAATCCATACATATGAGAGAAAAAGAAGAATAGATAGCTTATCCATATATCGAATCAACATATCCCTTACTATATAATCAATCTATCTCATTTCTTTCGTATTTTTTTTTCGGCTTTCGCCACAGTCAACTTTAATAAATCATTCAATATTATATGTAAGTGAATAGTTCTATATCACATACAATCTATTTAAACTGTCTATTCAATATACACAAAATATAGATAAATATAACAGTTAAGTAAAACACATGAATAAATATCTAACTATATCAGGAGATCAGTAATGAATATGATAAATATACAACATTCTTTGACATTAAGGAAATGATGCACCGACAATTTACAACTCTGTTTCTCTTTTTTTTGTTGTTGTCGTTGTTTTTGATTTTATCTTTCTCTTATTCTCTTTCCAATTCAATTTGGTTAATAGAGAAATAAAGAGTAAAAAGAAAGGACATTTAAATAAAGTAACAAGTGAGAAAGAGAATAATAATAATAACAATAATAAATGTCTTATTTACAATTTGATCTTCTAGATTTATTCCTACAATTAATAACTACTACATTTGTTATCATCATCTGTAAGAAGTTTTACATCTTGGAAGAAAAGAGAACATTTATTATAAACGTCGAATAATGCTTTTCACCCCCCCCTTCCTTCAAAAATTTATGTTGTTGACAAAATGACCGAATGTTAATGAACTATTCTTTTTTTACAAAATAATTTAGCTAAGGAAAAAAAACAAATACGTTACTGTATGGTAAAGAAAATACGTTAACTCATTTGCCTCCTACCGATGAATATAACCTTTTATTTTTTATATTGTATAGATGTAAAATGTAGAAAATAGAAATTATTTACTACACCACTAACTAACCAAGTAACATTAATTCTAATAAAGATTGAGTGTAGATTAATGCATAACATCATCTTTTTATTTCAGTGGTAATAACAAAGTTATGGTCTCTTCTTATGAATGTTAACGTAAATGAATTATTTGTTTTTCCTACCTATTTAATAAATGTTGTCAACTTCTAGTAGTCGAAATATCATTTTTCATTATTAGGACAGAAGAAAAAAAACAAAAACAAATAAAGAATGCTTTATAGGCAATGTGGTAAACAATATTAGTCAAGCATGTTTCTCCCTATACATATGTATATATATCATCAGGGTATCGGAACTGGTCACCAGAGGAATCAATAATAATGTTGTTTTTTTTTTGTTGAAAAAAAAGCAGATTATCTATTCAACCTTAATGCCAACTTCGTGAAAAGTACAAATTTATTTATCGATACAGAGATAAAGTATTGTTTGTCTTTCGTTTTTCCATGTATTATGTATTATGTATGTGATTGTTAGTGAAATTATCAGGTTATGCATTGTACAATATTTTTGGACCGACCTCAGGTAAACTAATCAATCGTATCATTTCAATTTTTAAATATACTGACTGATTTTAATGTATGGGAGGGATTTCTTAAAAAAGTATATTTGGTCAATCATTTTGCACTGTAAGATCATATAAGACTTGTGAGAGTTAGTTAATTAGACAAACTCTTAAGTTAAAGCTGACAATTCCTAGTAAGTTAGCTATTTCGTTAAGGAATTGATTTTGATGAATACATTGAAATCATGATTTTTATTAGAACAAATCGGTAACAAACTGCTGAGGAGTCCCATGCTGGGACGAAACGGCCGTCCTGTGCTTTCAGGTTTTCCATGGTGGTCTAGTTTCAATTGACTTATGAATTCAACTATAAAATTACTAAAATCTCCACAAACTCCCTTCTGATATGATGGTATCTATTTTTTAGCAATAAAAACATATTTCTCGATCAAAATTTATTATCAGAGGGTGGATTGAAGTAAATTGTTAATTATGATGACTTAAACTCTTTATTAAAGGAGCCTCTTTTGAAATGTAAGTTTTACCACTGATAAACATAATGAAGGTTAATATATGCAACGAATACTCTGATAATATATATGAATGATATATTAAATAAAATTGGCTGAAACACTTACCTTTGTTGTTGGAATAAGGGAACATATTGAATTATGCATTGTATTTAGTTGATCTTCAGGTCTACATTCTGTCGGTAAACTACCAAGTGACAAATCTGTAAGAGAATCGGTAGAATCATGTCTATTCCCATTTTCTAAATTAAAATCACATCTGAAATTTGATAAATTAGGACTATCTTGAGAACATGTATAAGTTAATAGGCATCTGTTATTATTAGATAAATGGGGTTGATTTGTCACTGATGAAGATGTTTCATTTTGTTCTTTACCATATTTATTGTTGATAGTTGTTTTTGGTTGTTTTATAGATGTATTAGAATGATGATAATTGTTTAAACTACTTGTAGAAGTTGTTGCAGATGAATTGCATTGAGTTATACGGTTAATTGCACTACTCTTGTTAATATCATTTTGAGATGTAGTAACTACATTCAATGCTGATGTTAACGGTGTCATACCCATTGGTATAACGCCATTCTGTTGTAACATATCTTCTAAATTTTCAATATAATCTATAGCATTTCTTAAAATTTCCACTTTTGGCATACGTTGATTTGGATTAGCGCATGTACGTTTTTTTAATGTTTCAAATGCTTCATTAACTTTACGTAAACGACGTCGTTCACGCATTGTTGCAGCTTTTCTCCTATCAACTTGCATTGTTTTTTTCTTGCATGCTTTACATGCCCATAGTAGACACTGTCCATGTGAACCAGGTGCAATAACATGCTCTTCCTAAGAAAATAAGATAAGAAAGAAGAAAGAAATATTGACACAGTATTTACATACTACTTGTTTTTTTCCTGAAATATATGTTTCAAGTGTATAACTAATGTTAAAATGACATGTTACACGATGTAATTTAATTGATTTGTGTATTATTGACTTTAATTCCAATTTATGTTAGCTATTAATGTGACAATTGTATAACATATTGTTATTTTATATAAAAAAATTTTTATAAAGTAATTCCTCTAGGGTATCTGGTCATCAGTTATCATTGTAATTAGAGTTAAATGAGAGGTAATAAACATGACGACGTTGATGATGATGATGATGATGATGATGGTGTTTGCTATTAAATAGGATGAAATTCTATTCTTATTCTTATAATAAGCTAGTTATTTTTCAGAATGCATAAGTGAAAACTGGATAATAATTGCAAACAACAGGCGCGCTGACAATTATCTACAGAAATACATAGATACATAGATATACGAGTTATTATACTTAACTATATTTCAGTATATATTTGTTTCGTTAAACTGAACAAAGGGAAAATACTATGAATAGATAATTCTGTTTCTATTTTCACGAGGAATTTCTGTGTGGGTGTGTTTAAGAATAAAGGAGATGGGAAAAATGTAACTATTACAATTACTACTACTGAACAATTTTTTCTCAATGTTATAGTAGAAAATATTTTTATCTAAATATTTTAGTTACCATGGCATAGAAGGTACAAATAAGAGTTAATAGCTGTGCACACATACATACACATGAATACAGACAAATATGGAGATACGTAAGGTGACAACAGGACAGGAAAACTGTTATGCTTGTAGGTGGAAGATGGATGTCATCAACTGATTTACGACTAGAGTGGGTGATGTTGTACACATGAACAGATCTGTAATCGGGTGGGTGTTTTCATAGAAAAAATAATCATTAGAAAGAAAATGCGTATAGTAACTGTAACATTATATTCTTTTAATTTAGTATTTTGTATAATCGACTACATAATTCAGAGTGATGACATTTTAGCGTCAGTTGTTCGCGATATATATATATATATATATAGTTCGTAGTTATATTCACTCGTTTACGATTAATATAAACCAGTGAAGAAAAAGTGGGTCTATTTACAAACAGAGAAACTACATGTAATTACTACCTACCATTTTGTTTGTTTATGAGGAATAAAATAATAATATAAGTTCAAGAGGGAAGGAATGAAAATAAAACAAATTAAGAGGTAAAAATTTACATATCGACTTAGAAGAAAATGAAAAAAAAGCAGAAAAACAAATCAGAGTTTCCAAGGTAATTTTTTTTAATAAAATTTAAGTGCAAAATAACCATAACAATAATATTATTTTTATTAATGAAGATGATAATAACCATAAACATTAAATGTAACTGAAATGAATACTTTGAAAAAGATTAAATAGTATGAAATAAAGTGAACAACTGTTCAAAATGAGACATATCAAGATTTTAAGCTAATAATTTGAGTCTCTATAGTGCTTTCTGTGTTACACACACACACACACACACGAGAATTTCCCTATAGAAATCTTTATAATAGGTATAAAACTTTAACTGCTAAAATATTTATTTTACCTTGGATTCACAGATGTCAAAATATTGTTTTCTTTCATTTTCACGGTCTCTTTCTCTCTTTCTATACAATATGTATATATATATCGCTTGTAAACAATTCGCTGAGTAGCAGAAGTTATTGTGTTACTTTTACAGAGCATAATGTAAACAAGACTATTATTATTAATAGTGTCATCATATGGTAATATTATTGTTCTATTGCTATATGCTTTGAATAATAGTGAAAAAAAGATAACTACGCTTCTTAATAATACATTGATTATTCATTACTCCAAATATGTAAGATTTATTCTTCTGGAAAATCCTTTACGTAAGTGTTTCTAGTAGAAACTATTATTGACTATTTCTACAAATTACTAACTCATTAATAACCGAGTGATTACACTAGAGATTAGTTTATAATGATGGCTTCTCCAAAGTACTAACGAGAAACTGTTACCCGTAGATTTGACCAATTAGTAACTCACAACACTGTTAGTGAGGGTTAAATTATATCTTAAGCTTTCTTAGTTCAAATTTTTGGACAGATAAGATTTTTTTTTCCGGAACCTGATATTCTTGGATTTAGTCTCATACTTATGGGTGACGTTGTAGCTAACCATGATACATACTCAAGCGCGCACTCAGTTTCTCCACAATTTTCATTGAATCTCCTTCAGTTTCACCTAGTAATGAAAATTAACTGTAAAGTGCTAGTGAGGATTCTTAATTACCTGTTATCGATATTCAGAACTGTAACTGATTAGTCACTGTCAACATACGAGCATCCTGAGTGAATTGCATCAATATAACATTGTCATAAATTTTGATATATTTGTGGCCAGAAATGGAACATATCATTTGCAGTCCTTTATACCAAAAAACGGGAAATTCTAGAGCCTAATTGATACCTTCATACCTGTTCAAAAGGTTAGTGACTATCTGGCCTCATACCTCATTGGATTGTGAGTTGAGCATTTAAAACGATGAGCAGCGTCCGATGTTCAGTGTCAACATCAGTACTGTAATGCAGATGCGACCAGTTGGCGAATCTGAAACAGGAGTTATGGATTCCTATGCTAGCTGTACACAAAATATGTTAAATTACCTTCAGTGTTCAAATATCTATATAAAATTGTGTAAGCTATATGTACAGTTTTGTTTACTTTCTTATTAACTATCAACATGCTTTTAACGTTAAAAGTTTCTTTATCCTAAACGAAAATGATTATGTAATCCTGTCTGAAAGATTAAATAATACTTGACATGTGATAAAAGGGTATTTTATTTTTAATGTAACCAGTTATTCAATACAATTACAATCCACTTTCATTTAGTAATTTCAACGTCATTTATCATTAAAAGATTATATCATACACATATATAACTGGTATGCTAATTTATGCATATTGTCTATCAAATTTTTAGATAAAAGAGAACTAGACGTTTTTACTGTTCAGTTGATCTATCCATTTAATGCTTCACTGCCTGCATCATATATATACTGATAACAACAGTAACAATAAGTGAAGTGGGATGTATTCTGTTGGAAGCTAAAGCATTGGAAGGGGGAGAGCAGAAGGTCGAATATGATTTTCTAAGTTAAAACTAAACTTATTACACATGATTTATCTTGAATAAGTTAATTAGATAAAGTTATTTAAAGGATGATCCTTTTCTTAATGAAAACTTTCTTTATGCAGGTCAGATTGTGTTGATTTGTGTTGACCTCATGGAGTTATATTATTATTATTATTATTATTATTATTATCGGAATGAGAGTTTTCATTGAGAATATTTAAAGGTGGGATTGATCAGTGAAGTAACTTTTTAGATAAGTTAGAAATGTTCACTTTGGTTTACTTAAGAGAGATAGAAAGATGAAAATCTGGAGGGCCATTCAAAATGTCTTCATCAATTAATATTTGAACTCAGCAGGGTAATTCATTTAGTTGAATAGTATGCTTAATTTTTTTTTAGACTGATGATACAAAGTTTCTATTAGGTAAATAAAAATTTACATGAATAGATTAAGATATAAATTTACATAGCAAAAATGAGAATATATTGGATATTCTTAATATAAGTTTAACCAGTTTTTTTCATCAATTTTAAGTGTGAGACAGTCACAGTGACATCGGAAGATTTTTGGACATTATTACGAACTTATCAAAGTTAAACAGATAAACCATTATATATCAGGTTCGTGTTCTAAAGGTTAAGCGTTAGTCCCGAGACATAAAGGCCCTGGGTTCAACCTCCAGTTAACCTATGCTTATCTTATTTTTAGTATGGATTGTAGTCTGTCGATCAGGTTGTTAAACGGTCATTAAACTAAGTTACGTGATAATTTGTGTCATATGAAGTTGTTGTGCTATAAAACTGAAGCCAAGAAAACTTGGTGTTTATTTAAAAATAGTTTTTCTATATCTCATTTAAGCATTACTTAATAATTAATTACTTGCATCAAACTTAGATATGAAAGATTAGTTTCAGGTAAAGTGCCAAAATTATAGTGTTACCAATCAATTCTAGGTTTCACACAAATATACTGCACAATTTTTTTTTTAAATCTGTCTTCGAGATTATTTTGACTCACTTGCTGTGTTTTATTAAAACATTAATAATCATTTATGGCTTCGAATCCCGCGAGGTGGGATCTTGGATGCGCACTGCTGAGGAGTCCCACAATAAGATGAGACGGCCATCCAGGTTTTCCATTGTAGTCTAGCTTCAATTGACTCATGGTCTTAACTATTAAAATTACTATAATATCCACAAAACCCCTTCTGATATTAATTATTTATATATTTATTCATATATTCCCACTTTATGTTATGAGTTACAAGTTCGTGTAAAGTTAAATTGAGTATACAAATTTTATTACACATAATTATGACTTAAAACGCTTCATTTTTAACAAACAGTTTGCTTGTTTACATCTTAATCTACTTTTTCTATTTCAGTTTAAATAGATAAATGAATCAAGGTAGGGTCAGTAAATCTTTACATGGAAACTTTCAGACAACATATTTACTAGGTACACACAGAGTTTATTTATTCAATAAATAAATAACTGTACTGAGTAATCATCTTTGATTGAATTCTAGATACAAGATAATTACAGTTATTATATACTTTTCATTTAATTAAAAAAACTATCGGTCAGACATGATTAGCTCAGTGACTGAGTTATATGTGTACGAGCCCAAGTTGTCATATCATATTACTGTAATAACATGAACTTTAAAAAAAACGAATGAGAAATCAAATACTGTGGGATCAATGGTAAAAGAAAAGACTAAATTTTGAGGATAATTTTAAAAAGATGACATAAGAAAGATGTGAATGAAGGAATGCCGAAACTCAACATCTTGAAGAAAATAATGAAATTAAAACATGGATCACTTAAAGTACTTACTTTAGTTTCTTCAGTGTCATCATTATCTGAATCAGATTCGTCATCTGTACTACTACTTGTATCATCGCATATATTTGACTTCATTACTACAGTTTTCATCGTTGACTGTGAAGTTTGTAATTCATTTATCGCTGTGTTGATCAAATGATGTTTATCTGTACTCATTTCTGCTTGTTTCATACGAGAATAACGACCACGTTTACGTAATGATGAGGCTGTTTGTTGCTGTATACTTGATCGTTCAGGTTTCAGTGACATCGTTGTTGAATCTGAATGCATCATTGATTTAGTACGTTTTAGTGATGTAACTGTAGGATTAGTTGTTGGCAGTTCTGTTTGTTTTCGTCTATCGATTTTAGTTTTTTCACTTATTATTTGTTCTGTGTCAATAGATGATTTATTTGAATCCGGATTTGTATATTTATCAGTCTTTTCTATTGATGTATTATGCGATGGCGATGTTATATGGAAACTGTTATTAGTTATGTAAGATGCTGGTGGATTGCTGACAAGTTCCGATGTTTGACAAGTATTTTTATTAATTGTGCTTTGTAGATGAGTCTGAAATTCATTTAATAGGCAATGAGGTCTTTTCCCTGAATTGTTATTATTATCTGACGATGCGTTGCCAAGTGAACTTGAAGATCTCGATGCAGCTGATGAAGTTGAAGAGGACCCATCAAAAAGAAGCTGTGTTTGATTAAAAACACTCACGGAATTCTCACTTGTGGTAGTGGTAGTGGTAGCGATTTGTGTAGAAACTGGCAGACAATATATATTATTATTATTAGTGCTACAACTACTATTGTCATTGTTATCAAAAGATTTGGATATATTCGACACGTGTTGTTTGGCTTCTGTAATTAATAAACGTTGTGGTGTTGTATTATGTAACAGATCAGGGCTATTATAAATGCTATTGTTCAAATAATCTATTTGACGATTACCAAAGTTTGCTTCTGATGATAATGGAGTTGATGTGAAATGATTTGGTGATGTTAAATATTTACTAGATTGACGATGTGGGTGTTGTGACATTGATGATATTTCATCTGGATACATATTCATCTTATCTGGTGTCCAATTAGTTGATAAACTAAATCCATCACTTGTAATCGAAGGTATTATAATTGATGATGGAATTATTGTTTGTTCATTTGAAACATAATTTTCAGGATAAGATGACTTCAAATTGTTGAATGTAGTCTGTCGAGAGTTTCTTATATATGTATTATATTCATTTGGTTGTAATAATTGTTGAAATTGTTGTCTTTGTTGATGCTGTTTATGTTGATGTAGATAAGTGTTATCATCATTTTCATTATCATCAGCATCATTTAGCATTTCTACTTTAACAAGTTCACCTTCAGGAACATGTTGATAATGATACACTGATGATGGTAGGAATTCATGATTATTATGTGGATTAGATAAAATATTTTTATGACATAATATTAAGTCATCATCAATTGTCGATGTTGAAATGCTGTCAAAGTTATGTTTACTGCTATTATTAGTAGTATTGGTTACTAACTGATGTACTAATGTTTGAAACGGTGACTGATTTACAAACTGTGAATAATGGTCCAGATGACGCAATACAGATGTTTTTATTAATTCTGTTTCATTTGGTAATACTGTGATAAATTCTTCAGTCGGCGGTTGAAGGAACTGAGAATTCAGTGAAAACTCAATTTGATCACATAAATTAGTTTGATATGTTTCTGCTGTAACTGACGATGGTGCTGTCACTGACGCTGTTGTTGTTGTCGAGGTTGGTGATAATGATAATGATATAGAAGGCAAATGGCGATTTGAATTAACTGATGGAATGAATGAATTTGCATATCTAAATGGATTATCACTGTTATTGTTATTATTATTCAATGTGACAATAGGATAATGCGGCTGATTTGTTGTATAATGTGAATTAGTCGAGTATTGACTTGACAAATTCCCGTAGGGTGAATTGGTCGAAGACGATAGTCCATAATGATTAGTTTGACTATCTAATATGTTATGACTGTATTCGGAGTTGTTTTCTACATTGAAACTCACCTGTTCATTTGTTAATGCAATATGATGATTGATAGATGAGGTGAAATGTGTCGAATTTTTGGTTGTTGCATTATTATTATTATTATTATTATTATTATTATTATTATTATTATTAATCAGTTGTGTAGGATAATTTAACAGTTGACGGATTCGGTAGGTATATCATCTACTATAATACTGCTATTATTACTGTAGTTAGTGAATGTACTGTTTAAATGGTGGTGTGACTGATCATATTCTCCAATCATAGTTTTGAGTTCACGTGATTTTAAATGTGTAGAAAATTTTCCGAGGATTTTTCAAATAACACAAAAGGACAACTGTTAACTTTCTTGTCAAAGATTTATGTATATGTGTATTTATGCATAAATCAATTAGGTATTGATACTAATAATGTCAAATCTGTAATAATCTGATCACTTGAATAAAATCGATTTCGTTGGTACTTGGACACGGGAATAGTAAGTAAATCGATTATCCTGTTTCACCGTATAATATTATTCAATACTTATCCAGATAAAATGCTGTATACGTAAAGTCAGCAGGTGAAATCACCGCAATAGTTTTGATCAATTTCTGTTGTTTTTTCGTGTGTAAGACAACAGTTGGTATTACTCGAGTCAGCTGCTAACCTGAATTTTTCCCTATGTACGCACAAATGTGGTTTAGTGTAATTGTGTATATCTCCGTGTGTATGTATGTATGTATGTATGTATGTATGTATCCGGAAATGTAATAAGATTCAACACGAGTTGAATATTGTCGAAGAGGAAATAGGAAATTTTTGACTGTTAACCACAATGAAAAAAATTAAACAGTTTTTGAGTGCTGTTGTTTTCCTCTTCCAGTTAATAATTTATTTCTTGCTTCTTATCAGTGGGAAAATGTTGTATATTCTTGGACAATCCTTTGAGAGAAAATAGTTTTTCTTGTTTTTTTATCTTCTGGTTACATAAAAATGGAAGTATATTGATGATAGTTCAGTTAGTTGTGAACGTGAACAGTTGTTGATCTTCTCAAAATAGTACAGAATCTTTGAATAAAGAAAATATAAATGTATGACCTTGTATAAATGAATCTTTAAGATCTGATGGACACAGTTTGACAAGTACAAGTTTTTGGTTATGCACGAAGTTGAAGAAGAAGTTATTCAATTAATATTCTTATTGTTATTTGGAACAGTTGACTTTCGTAGATAAGTGTATATACACACGTGTATGTATAATGTTAAACAGTTGCTTTTGACTTGGTTGGAACTGACTATTCAAGATTATTACAGCAACTGTTGTGGTAACTTTTTTTCCACCTCTTCTGTTTAAAATTGCTTTGGACGATTTGTGAATGAATAACAATTGTTACTCTAAATGATTCGGTTGTTTTAATCAAAGAAAATATATTTGACAAGTTTGCGCAGTTGTACCACAGAATTTATTCTTTAAGTATACTGGTATATATAAACCCATCAGTGGTACACAATTTGTTAGCAACATCACCACCCTATTCTAGTAATTTGTGTTCTTTCTAAATTAAATTAACTTTACTTTTATTGGTTAGTAATATTAAGTATTCCGATTTCTTGTCTACCAAATGTAGTTTTCTTCCCATGATATTGATTTGCACAAGTGCGCTACAAATTAAATTAATTTGCAATTATAAATGTGTGCAGACTAAAAATTATTTTTCTACCCTTCCAAAAATCGAATTAACACAATAATTTTAATTGGTTACTTATTTCGCAGATGAAATTCAATGCCCAAGTGCATAATACCACTTGGCCAATAGCAATAAGAAGAGATGCAACACAATTCCTACTGTGTAAGTCGTCTATAGTAAATCACCACGTGATAAGGTGCACATATTGTGTGAATAGATTTTAACGAATTTAACATGTGAATTTTTTAAATCTTCAAAGTAGACTCCTAACAGAATTAGCATTATACCGACTACTACTACTACTATTACTAACTCTAGAACCATTAATGATAGTAGGTAGTTGCAGTATGGTAGAAAGAGGACCAAACAAATCATTGTTTTAACTTGGAGATTTGATATTTTTGAAAAAAAAAACATGTGTCGAATAATGTAATCAATATTATTTCTAGCTAGACTAGTCACAATGTGTATAAAACTGAATGAATAGTCAAAGGGTTAGTTAGTACTTCAGTTTTTATTTGAATGTTTCTGAATCTTCCAGTCAGTTATAATAGCTATGTTACATGTACTCCTTTGAATTTCATATGGACTGTAATTCGTATCTCTTAAATCGAATTGGTCCTTAGGCAATAATAAATGTCATGTCTATCTACTCCCTAATAAACGTCAAATTTAATAGTTCAAAAATTACAGTAAAACTAATAGATTAATTATTTCGACATTACAATCCATTTTGTTTGATGCTAGACAGTTAGAAGTAACCGACAGAAGCCTTATGTTTCTTTATGGTTGATAGATATTTTATTTCTCACTAATGTGTTTCTATCAGAGTGATGGTTTAGAGACATTACTACTGAACCTTTTGTGTAGTGAGTCGGGCGAGAAAACAAACATTAGCAGTCGGAGTAGCAACAAGAATAGAAGGACGATGAAGTTTGTAAGATACAATTCAAGGAAGATGTGCAAACGGTAGATTCAATGTATTGTTTTCCTATTATACAGATTCAGTGTGTGACTTTGCACAATACCCAAGTCTTTATTTATTACAAATGTGCAGATAATCACTGGTTACGCATTTTGTGTGAGACTTCTCAGTAGTGTTCGCCCAAGATACCGTTTGGGACGAACCAAGGACCCATATGATCCACACAGTGTGCTTGCACTTTGATACATTGAGTTTACTTTAAGTGGGACACGTTCGTAAATTCAGTCGATTTTCCCGTCACAATGTCATTTGAACTAAACAAATTTGAATTGATTGAACAACTGGATAATAAACATTGTTACTTTATCAAGTGCTCACTGAATTCTGTCTATGAAGTTACACTCTACTCAATATGGGACGTGACACTGTCAGATTGATAATGAAAGAAAAAATCAAGTAGCTTTTAACCTAGGTTGACCTAATCTAAACCGCATTGGATACTACTCAATGAATATCTTACTTCCCTCTGGCCTCAGCTAACTCACCACTAACTAATCTAAATATCAATATAGGGTTGTGCAGATCGTTTGGTTTTAATTGAGATCATGAACCGATTGATGTTAGATGATCACGATTCGGGTCACAAAGAAAGAGATAGTGTCCACAAGGTCGTAGACACATTCTGTTGTTGACTGTCACCTGGGATAAAACCAAGACCTCCGATCGTCCAACAATAAAATTGGTCGTAATTAGTTTGTTTAGAGTAATAGTAGTGACAGTTAAAACCCACAAATTTTCTACTTTAAATAAAAGCTTTGCCATACAGAATCCCTCATTAATAATTACGGCAGTTGTTTCTAAAATCTATTGTTGACATAATTTTATTCTCTGATGATGGGATCTGAAAACAGTCAAATATTTTTGTCATGATAAAAATAAATCCAGAAATAAATAAGTACACTTTATCAAAGATACTGGTAGTCTTGTTATTTACATGAACAGCAAAACTTTTAACTAAAGAAAAGATGAATAGTGGCTAGTAGCAGAATCCAAGACGCACGTTTCGTCGCATTTGGAACTTGTCAGCTGGATGTACCTGCATCCCAAAGTTAATGAGTCGCTCCGGTACTCGAACCCAGTATAGTTCTCTTCAAATGTCATTGGGTTTTGTGCTCTTAATACACTCTACAGTGTATTTTCCGTACGACTATAGCATTCTGCATAATTTCATGCTAACTTTACTTTACCTAGTTTCTATGGTTGTTTGTTCTCATTAATGACCCTAATGTGATCGTGTATATTGCGGGAAACCCTAGTGATGTGTTTCTGTATTTTTGTACAATCACTTTATATAATTATTTTTTTGTTCTCATATTTTCATGTAAACTTGTACTCTTTTTACCCTGAAATATACCCCAAGATTAATTATACACAAAACCCTTATATTATCAAAATTACGACTTATTTCATTCGTTAAATAGTCCATTGGGTCTCGTGGTATGTACGGTTCCCCAAAGAAACTCCAATCAGTGGCTTTTTGTCAGTGGTTTTAAACGATCCAATGCAGAAAAGCCCAGATCGTTACCCCTCAACTTACATCCGTAACTTAACAAGAGGATATTCTGGGATGTCATGGAACAATCTGTATTAAGCAGCTGCTCATGTTCAATAGACGAGTAAGCTTTTGCCAACAATTCATAGAAAGTTGCTGATCTCTCAATAAATCATGTATTAACGTACATCAGGGAAATATGAAAATAGTCAAACTGGGTATATATATAAATATGACATCCCTTGTGGTACAGCACATTATCCCAAAGTCGACAATGCTTCTTGAAACGACCCCAGAACACCGACTAATATAGCAATAGACGTATCTGAGCCAACAATCAGAGAAGTATTAAATTAACTTGTAGACAACAACTGGCAACAATACTCCTTCTCTTTGAGGCGACTGAAAGATATCGAATAGAAATATAAAATCCCTGATTTCCACACAGGTTACTGGTGTCTAACAAGATAGTTAGTGTACTCTGAGAAATCAAAATCCGAGTATAATTGTAGCTTAAATCAACTTTAGTAAGGCCTCCAACAAACTTCCACATAAACTGGTTACTTAACTTTCTTCCATGCGCAAATAATATTTAGTTGGACGTCAAGTATGAATTGTAGTTATCTCTAGCTTGTTTGTCCGATTGATAGATCGTAATTTGTGGTGTGCCTCAGCTGGGCTGGAGTTATATTATACCGATAGGATAATTCATATGAACATAGCGTATCAAATAGGGAATTTTACCCGTTTAGTGAACGAAAGGAGTATATCTAAGTATTATTTTGACTTCGTTTTTAATTTCATGTCACAATATTCATCTTATTCATGAAAATTTCTCACTTCTATTACTGTGTTACGCTACACTTGTCTGAAGATGACGTGTATTACTTTTTGTTTATCAGGCTATAAATTGAGGACAGACTGATTTTAAGGATTTTAAGGAGTTTTAGGGCTGTATTT